GGCACCTGGGTGCTGCCCTGGGCAGCCAACCACTAGAGCTCTCCACACCTGCAGCCTTGGCCTTCTGCCAACCACACTGTCACATGGCCTGGGCATGGAGGCACTGTCTCACCAAGCAGTCACTAAGAGTCTTGGGCCCTGCGACCCTGGGTGGCTTCTAACTGCATCCAACTGCGGCCGGGTGCCTGGGTCTCCAGGTGACATGGACTGCCCAGAGTGAAGATGTGCCCTGGGTGTGCATGCAGGACTCTTCCAAGAAGGAAATGGTATCCCTGTGACCCAGAAGTCTGGGCAGGCTGCCTGTGGGGGGACAGCGGGGAAACCCACCCAGGATGACACAGACTTGTGCGGGGACAGCCCTCTGAGAACCTGCTGCAGTAAGCCAAATAATATCATAGTCAAAGGCAAAATGTCACGCTATGGTGTGTTGTTTTGTTCTTTTGGCTTTTTTTTTGGGGGGGGAGCTGGGGCCCACCACCCAGCTCCCAAATAAATCACACACAGAGGCTTATTCTTCGTTATGAGTGCCCAGCCTTAGCTTGGCTTGTTTCTTGCCAGCTTTTCTTAATTTAAATCATCCTGTCTACCTTTTTTCTCTGGGCTTTTACTTTTCTCTTCTGTAAATCTTACTTTATTCCATGGGTAGCTGGGTGGCTGGGTGGCTGGGTGGCTGGGTGGCTGAGGGGCTGAGGGGCTGAGGGGCTGAGGGGCTGAGGGGCTGAGAGGCTGAAAGACTGAGAGGCTGGGTAAGTGGCTGAGGCCAGAGGTCCACGTCTCCTTGTTCTCTTCTGCTCACCTTCCTCGGTTCTTCTTCTATTTATCCTCTCTGCCTGTAAGCCCCACCTATCCTTGCTCCTGCCTCGCTATTGATTCTTTATTAGAACCATCAGGTGTTTGAGACAGGCAAAGAATCACAGCTTCACAGAGTTAAACAAATGCAGCATAAACAAAAGTCACACACCTTAAAATATTCTATTACATGGTGATTATTTTTTGAAGCCCTGTCTTTGATGGAGTGGTACCCGGGGCAAGTTTACCAACCATCTTGTTGACCCCACATCTAGCTTTTATAGGTGGATTCTGAGGATTAAATTCAGGTTGCCTGGCAACCTGCTAACCAGTGTTTCTCAACCTGTGGGCAGCAAACCCTTTGGGGTCTAAGGATCCTTTCACAGGGGTTTCAGTTATTTACTTTGTGATTCTTGACAGTAGCAAAATTGCAATTATGAAGTAACAACAAAAATTGTTTTTGTGGTTGGGGATCACCTCAATATGAGGAACAGTATTAGGAAGGTTGAGAGCCACTGTAATAAGCCATCTCACTGACCCAAGCATCGGTTTCTTTTCTTTCTGTCTGTTTTTTAGATAAACGTCTCCTTATGGAGTCTTGGCTGTCCTAGAACTAACTGGCTATGTAGACCAGGCTGGCCTCAAACTTACTTAAAGAGATTCTCCTGCCTCTGTGTTCCAAGTGCTGGAATTAAAGGTGGGCCAGCACCATCACAGCTCGTCAAGCATCAGCTTCTAAGGGGCCAGAGACGGAGAGAGAGCAAGTCAGGAGGGACCCAAAGTTCTGGGGGAAGGACATTTTGTTTTTCAGACTGCATCAAATGTAGCCCAGGCTGCCCTTGAACTTACCACCCTGGTAAACTACAAGAGACCCTCTCTCAAAGAAGAAAACAAAACAAATATGAAGTGGGGGTGCTGGAGAGATGGCTCAGCAGTGTAGTGTGTGCTGCCCTTGCAGAGGGACCAGGTTAGGGGTTCAGCACCCATACGGTAGCTCACGGCCACCTGTCTTCTCAGTGCTAGAGGATTTAATGGCCTCTTCTCTGACCTCTCTGGGCACCTGCATGTGCATGATGAACATAAACTCACACTGGCACACAGCATACCAATTCATTAGCCAATTAAATAAATCTTTTTAAAAAGTGTTTAAGAGCACTTGTGGCTCTTCTAGAGTTTCCCAGCACCCATAGGAGGGCAGCTTACAACTGCATGTAACTCCAGCTCCAGACAATCCGATGCCTCTTTTGGCTTCCAACGGCATCATCCTCAAGTACATGGTATACTCATGAATAAAAGTAATTTTTTAAAATGTTATTTTAGGGGGCTGGAGAGATGGCTCAGAGGTTAAGAGCACTGACTGCTCTTCCAGAGGTCCTGAGTTCAATTCCCAGCAACCACATGGTGGCTCACAACCATCCCCTATGAGATCTGGTGCCCTCTTCTGGTGTGCAGATATACATGGAAGCAGAATGTTTGATACATAATAAATAAATAAAATCTTTAAAAAAATGTTATTTTAGCTACTATCCTACAGTTGCCTCCACCACATTGACTTTCCTCCCAGCCCAGTTGCTTCAGTCCAGAGCGGGGCAGGGCCACTGAGGGAAACAGTTTATCCTGTCGCTATGCCCTGAAGCCAAGGCAAATGGACCCTTGCAGGTGATGCCTGGTGATGTGTGTGCTCCCATCTGCACACATCCCTGCAGGCCCCCGTCCGACACACACACACACACACACACACACACACACACACACACACACACCCAGAGATTACAGCAGAGCCCACACCAGCTCTGCCGTGTGCACTCAGCCCCCCTCCTGGCCAACTATGGCAGCCCCTTGTCCCACCTCCTCTGTTCTGAGACCCACCAGTCAGCCTAGCAGAACCTTAAGTTCAGCCTAGGTAGCAGAGTGTATGCACCATACATCACCTAGGTATGGGGGTACCACTCAACTCTGTAGCTTGTTTCACAAATATCTTGCTTGATTCTGTCAGCCCTGGCTCTGCCCCTCCGTCCCTGTTCCTCCAAATCCTTTATTATCAAGCGACACCAGTAGCTTCACCAATAGGTTTGGGTTTTTTTGTTGTTTGTTTTGGTTTTGGCTTTTTCTTTTTTTTCTTTGGTTGGTTTTCCAGACAGGGTTTCTCTGTGTAGCGCTGGCTGTCCTGGAACTCACTCTGTAGAGCAGACTGGCCTTAAACTCACAGAGATCCTATCCATAGACTTTTTACTAAGCAAATGGCAGGCAGCTCCTTGCCTTGAGTAAGCTCTCCCAATCCTGGCTTGGATGGCACTTAGGTATTTAGGAATGGCTTTCAGAACCAAGGTTGTCTACATGTCTCTCCCCCACCTCCCCTTGTCTTCCCCTCTCCTGAGCCTTGGAGCCAGTCTTGGCTGTGCTGTCTCTGCCTGAATTCTACAAACTGATTTTTACATCTTCTTCAAAGATGATTTGCTAGCCCCCACTCCACTTCTCCTTAGTGTCCAGCTTCTCAAAAATAATAGTAGTCTTGGGCTAGGGAGATGTCTCAGTGGGTAAGCCTGCTTGCTATATAAGTGTAAGGACCTGAACTCAATCCCAAGAACCTGTGTAAAAAGTCAGGTGTGGCTGCACACCTGTAATCCCAGCACTTGGAATGGGTACACTGGGGGTTAGTGGGCAGATTTAGGTCAAGTTGCGTTTATCACACCCAAGGTTGTGCTGACTTCCAATCATGCAATGTGATGTGCACACGTGCAAACACACACACACACACACACACTTCCCCACTGGGATTAATATGTATGCCACAGGGTCCGTGAGGTTTGTCTTCTCTGTATAGCTTGTAGCAGCACAGTGGAGAGCCTCTGAGGAGTGGCTTCCATATGAAGGGAATGTGAACTCTCTCTCTTCTGCCTGAGTCTGTCGCACAGTATGAGGTCCCTGGTCCTGGACGAAGCCTCCAGAGCACTGAGCTAAATTACCTTCTTCCTTTCTAGGTTGCTCAGCCCTGGGGATCCTGTGACACTGGAGAGAACAGGCTGGAACAGGGTCCTGAACTACTCACTAACGACCCAATTTGTTTCTTGCCAGACAGAAACTCAGAGCTGAAACCTACAGCCTGTCTCTGACCTCTTCGGAGGAATTAGGCACCAACCAAAACGTCCACAGTAACTTTCTCCAATTGGTCTCATTTCTAGGATTCTGTTTCAAGGAGGAAAAAAAAATACAAAAAGGGGGAAGCCAAAACATAAAGATGTTTATTGAAGCTCTATTTATAGCGAAAATAAAATATATATAAACAAACATTCAACAAGAAAATGCCATGCAGCCATTTGAAAGTAAGATTCCACATCAACATTGAAAAACATCAAGAAAAAAGTAGAGTAAAAGCCAAATATACATTTACAACCTTGTCAAAGGAAAAAAAAAAAAAAAAAAAAAAAAAAAAAAAAAAAAAAAACAAGCAAGAAAAAGTGCCCATGAGAAAACCTGTTCAGCAGGACTTTTCCCATTTGCTCAAGTGCTCCACACAGCATCTCTGCCATTATAACCAAACACCTGATGGAAGGAACGGTCTGAACAACCCTTAGGAGTGGATACCTGGGTCGACCCAGCCTGCAGTCCATTCCTGGGGATATGTAGGACTTGCATTCAGAGTGCCCCTCTTGGTAGGTAGGACAGGGACACCATGGGCAACTCCGCAGGCCATAAGGCCCTGCCAGGCAGCCTGTAAGCGGCCTAGCAATAGCCCTGTTGACCATTTGTCCCGGCCCTTGGGCCACCTGTCAAGTGTTTGCAAATATTTCTTTATTACCAAGTTCTTCCAGGATTCCCCAAGCCCTAGTTCCAGCTATCTACTTCCCAGGCTTCTTCCCTTTGGACCCTGGAGTAGGTAAATCCCCACTGGGTCCTACTGACACCTGACCAGGATGCTGGTCTGTTTCCTACTCTGGTCTCAAGACATCTGTTGTTTCCTGAAGTCAACCTGCCTTTCTAGACACCCTCATCTTGGCCTAACTCATTTTTGAACTTGAGCCAAACTCCCTCCATCCTTGGGTCCTAGCCCCGAGTTACCACCCACAGGGGCAATATTTTAGAAATCTACCCCCCCACACATTATCGGTACCCATGTGGGTACTTCAGCCCTCTGGGGGACTGTGAGCTGTCACATCAGGGGAAAGGAGACGCAGGACAAAAGGACATTTTGATGGTGCTTTTTTTTTTTCCATTTTTCTTTTTGCACAAAACAGTCCATTTATTCAAGTGTTCTCCAGCACAAGTACATCAGAAAGGAGCTTTATTATATTCTTCTGGGCACAAAAAAAAATGTGATGAAAGCGGAACTGACAGACTTTCTACATCTGCTGTACGTATTGACCTTTTTAATTATTTCATCAACAGCTATGTCACAAGCATCACGTACACAGAGATACAACGGGACGCCGGATGGTACTGCAGGCTTCGTGAAGCCCCCACACCCTTCCTGGCTGTCCCAGAACCAGACTGTGAAATGTACATTATTATTGTCAATAAATAGAGGAAGCAACCCTAACAAAAATACAGTGTAGAAGGATGCTGGGACCAGGAAAAAACAAACGACAATAAAAAAAAAAAAATAGGCAAAGAGAGGAAGAGGAACCAAAAAGAAAGAGGGCCAAGGGAGGAAGAATCTGGAAGGTCCTGCATTTAGCTGCGTGGAATGTGGAGTAAAAGCCACCGGGGTCAAAGTGAAATCGCCTGTAACAGTAAACGTTATTACCAAATCAGCTACGGAGTTTACTTTGCAGTATGAATACATGACTTCCCACGAGAAAGCACCCGCTACTTCGATGCCTCAGCTAAAACACGTGAAATCGCTCACTTAGTTTTCAAGTACAAAGTTAAAATGCCTTTTTAATAATAATATATCAGAGTAAAATAATAGTCTCTTTTAAACTCCACTACAAGAAAACAAAACAAAACATCATTGTCCAGACAGCAGACTTAATTTAACAATATATATTTTTAATAAAATGTGTTTAGCACCTTGTTGAGTCACCTCCTCCCCTCTGCATATTCTAAGGAATTTCAGCTTTTGTTGTTGTTGTTTCTATAGAATTCTAGGGCTGGGCAATCAAATTAGTCTGTAAAATGGGACTAGGTGAGACTTTAGCCACTGCTCATGTCCTCAGGCTCAGGTGCCGGGCAAGGTTTAGGAGGAACACTCTATGGGCCCACAAATAGAGCTCATTCCAAAAGGGGAGCCAGTTCCTGCAGTTTCTGGGGTCCCCTAGAGAAGCTGCCAAGTCCCCAGCAGCTAAGGGCCTTCCACGTTTCTCCCTCTGGGCCCGCTTCTTGATCTCAATGATAAAACTCCAGTGCCTGGGGCTGGAGACTTGTCTCCAAGCAAACACCCCCCCCCCCCCAACACTGGGTCTTGGAACCCTTCATACAAGAACCTTATTTCCCAAAGACCTCAGCTTTCTTACCACAAACATGCACGAGCTCACAATGACCCTCAGCAGCCCTTTCCTTAGGGTCCCCAACCCAGCACTGCTTGTTCCTTTGTGTGACACTGGATGGGAGAGGGTCAAAAGGGTCATCTTAACTCAACCTCATCACTCAGCAACACCTTTGCCATCATAGCAGGGTGGGTGAGAGGCTTCAGCTGTTCCTTGCCAAGTGGGACAACCCAGTGCCACCACCTCATCACAAGCATTTCGAGCAGTCAAGTGCTAGACTCAGACCTAAACACGGGCCTGCTTGGAAACTCAGCTGGGCTGGTCACGTGGCCCTGGGCCATAGCCAGGGCTCCTACAGTGACAGTTCCTGAAGACCCTGTAGTGCCATAAAAAGCTTTGCATGCATCTGAACAGGGCTGGGGATTCACTTCTACTCTCTGGACATACGGTGTAGTAAGAAATATAGAAACCAACAATCTGCAGTTTTCCTGTACGCACATTCTTTCAAAGTGGCTCGGCTTAACTCCCCCCAACTCCTAAACCAGATGCTTTACCCTGGACACAGCACGTGGCGACCACAACAGAGCATCCCTGGAGCAGAGACGCTGTCGGGGCTGGTACTCCCTTTCAGCATTGGCCTGCCTTGCTACATGAATCCACACGCCATTTACCAAAAGCCACAGGGATCTTTACTTGCAATCTCTCTACCTGCTGCCAAAGTGAAGAGGTCCAGGAGGCTCTTTTGGGGATTTTTGCTTTCTTACAGGGCATCTGACAGCAGAGAAACAGCCTACTGCAGGCTCCCAGGCTTACTGGGTCCTACGGGGAGGAATTAGCACCAGCTTGGGACCCCGCTGGCATGTGTGCCTCCCCAGGAGGCCTTGGTTTCGTGACCCTGGCGCTAGCACCGGCTACCTCCCCTGGGCAAGGGCCACAGATCTTTGGCACGAGGCTTCACATGGCACCTGCAGAAGGGAGGCTGTCACTCAGTCCCTAGCACCTTAGTTTCCAGGGGAAACAAGCCTTTTCTTTGGAAAGGAAACCCCACAAGGAACCCCCTTTGGGGATCCTCCCAGGACCTGACTCTAGCCTCAGCACCTTCTACAGTGTGGGGTGCACTAGACAAACTTCCCACAACCCCACCTCAACTACCCCAGCATCCTAGCAGCTCTCCTTTGGAGGTTAACTCCAGAAACCCCACTTAAGATAGAGGTGGAGGAAGGGAATCACAGTTTTGCCAAGCTGGCACATTCCCAAAGACCCTAAAAAGAGAGAAGGGGGTGGTCGATGGCTGACGTGACTGGTGCCTACATACTAGAGTAAGAGCAAGCCCACACACGGGGCTGGAAGGAAAGCTGGTGAAAATCACCAGATGCCCCATGAGGAATCCATTCTAGGGAACTTGTCAGGCCAGTATCAGTCAACCTGGAAGCCTCTACTCTGTTCTTTGGGAATGCCACATCCTTCCTTAGCCCTCACACTAAGCTCAGGGACTGGGGAGCACCAGGCCCAGCTAAGGTGTTGCTGGGCTACTGGGAAAGGCTATCTTCTTCACATGAGCAGTAGGCATCAGTGGAAGGCAAAGGCCCTTGAAGACAGTCCTGATAGTAAGAGCTGGGAAGACCTTGGCATTGGCTAGAGGGGGAGGGAGCACCCTGGACTGCCTAAGGCAGCCCTCCTCCCCCCCAGTCCTCCTGCACGGTGCTGGTGGACTCCAGGTCAGAATGGAGCCCTGCTGGAGCAAGGAAGGACATCACATTTAACACAGGGACTCCAAGGGGGCAAGCATCCCCATCTCGGATGCTCCAGCCCCACAGCCACAGCAGGGAGAACTAGCAGGAATCTTAAAAATCTATCCAGAGAAAATGAGCAGAGGTGGGCAGGACTACACAGCCCAAGAGGTGTAACGAGCCACCGGCTGGGCTTACTCCTGAGCAGTGAGCAAGGAAGCCAAAGCCTTTGTTTGGTTTTATCACTAATTACTAATTTACTTTACTCCAAAGGTGAAGTTCCCAGTCCCATTTTAATTTTTTTTTTTCTTTTCCCAATGGAAGCCCAGTGGCCAAGACAGATTTCAATTTTATTTTGGTTGGGGAGAATAGGTAGGGGGAGTTAAAGGCTGACTTGACTGGTGCCTAGAGTTGCAGGTCAGTAACCACAGGCTAACAGAAGGAATCTTTGACATCACCAGGAGCAAAAGGGATAGAACACAGACCTGCTAGAGGAAGCACCTGCTTGGATCAAACCTCCTCTTCCTGACTTCAGCACCTAGCAACTTCGGGATCGAGTCTACCTGTCATCAGGGCAACAGAGGTGTAAGAGCTGAACGGGCCAACTCCAGTGTCCTGATCCTAGGGAGAAGTGTGCCGGGAGCTCCCTGGTGTGCATCCAGACAGAAACAGGTTCCTGTGCATGTGTTAGACTGACTGACTGGTGTGGGGCTGTCTGTGGGAGGGACCCAGGCTCAACACAGAGCCCATTCCCTCCAACCCCCACTGTGTATACTTCTTATACATGACCCTATCTATGTATTTATATAGGGCCTATCATAGGCCCCATCTTTCTAGGGATGCGGTCTTGGGACCATGTGCTTGACAGCACACCTCCCAGCCCCTGCTGGTCCCAGGAGGTGCCGTCCCCCCTCCCATTATAAAATATATATCTCTATATGCCACATATCTACACTCCATCCATCCAGGCAAGCTCTGCCCATTGGGCGCTCACCCTGGGGCCAACACCACCTTCCCTTCCCACTGCCAACACCAGGCTACCTACCCTGGGTAGGAAATGGAACAAAGTGCGAGCACACAGGCCCCAGGTGACACTGACTCAAGGTGAGAGCGCAGCTAGCAGACCAAACACTAGAAAAGAAACACACGCCATTCCAACCACACACACGAGGAGAGAGGCTGCCCTGGCCTCCCTCCGGCCCTGACACACCGGACTCACGAGGAGGGGAAGAAGAAGAGAGAAGAGCAACTGGCCCGGAGGGTGGGCCTCAGAACTCCCTGGCCGCCTAGCGTGTTGCTGTACTGCCCAGTGGCCCACCTGGCCCGAGGGGTGGGAGCCAGGGCACCAGAGCCACTGATCCTTAAAAGCACCGGCCACCCCCACCCCCCTGCACCTTGGTTTGAAACCTAAAGGGAAGGGTGTTGGGTTTTTGTTTTCTCAAAGAAAATCTCAAAACAAACAATTATAACCAGAACCGTAAGAATAATTATAATAAAGGTGTCATCAGCCTTCCAAGTATGAAACTGCAGTCTGTAGAGATGACCAAAAACATCACATTCCAGGACCAGAGCTGCCTTGTGCAGAGGGGATGATGGGGGGGCCTCATAAAAGAACACACAAAAGGCAACTTAGACAGAAAGCACCAGTACATTTTGTATGTTTTTTTATTTGCTCTAGGTGGGGTTAATGGCAGATCACTTTCCCTCACTCTGGATTCTTTCTGATCCCACGAGGAGCCTTCAATGTGGCTGACAAATTCAAAATCAGGGGAAAGTTTTCTCATGCCATCTCACCAAGGCAGTCATTTTAGATTATATTCAAAGGTAATTATTGCACGAGTCTGGATAAAGTCCACACTCAGCTTCCCCAGGTCCGAACGCCTCAGCTTGACCCCCTTTTGGACAGGGAGAAGCTGGGCATGGGGCGGGGGATATGGTTCCTCCTTGGGTTTGTTAAAAACCAAGAGGGAAACTGGCCCCTCTCCCTCAGATGGTGAGCCCTCGAGCTGCCTCCCTCCCCCAGGCCTGGCGGAAACCCTTTGCACAGAAGGCCAGGCGGAAGCTGATGTTTTTACTCATCTCGCTGTTGGAAGCACCATTATGAAGTCGGGTTGTACAGTAGTTAACAGTACCTTTATATATATATCTCATAGCTATCATATATATATAAACTGTAAACAAGAGGTAACAGCGGCTTCTAGAAACTGGTTTTCTTCAAGGTTTCCTATATGGTAGGCACCTGAAATACTGTAGAAAAGGTCGGTCTGGTGTGGTGTTCTCAGCGCCCTGCTGCTAGTTGGGTTCTGTTTTGCATGACCAGGAATGGTGCTGTTGAGACTGCTCAGGGCTGGGAGGGGCTCTGCCTCCCGAGGGTCTCTACTCTGTTCTTGTTTGTGCTCCTATCTGATCAGGCTAGAGACAACCAAAGAGAAATATAGAATAAAAAACAAAAAAAAATATATAAATTTTTATAGAATTTTCCCTCTCTCCCTTTCCTGTCCAAGGTATTACTACTTTCTGTTGTTACTGATTTTGCTGCTATAACCCTCTTGTTTGTCAGTCACAGCAAGAAACAAAAACCCAAACAAACAGAAAACCCCTCTGAAAAAGAGTAGAAAACAAAAGGTTCACCTCCTAGGAAGAGGAGGGGAAGAAGGGGAGGGGCCTATTTTGCTTTTTAAATAGGACTGAAGATTAACATTGAAAACTCAGGAGATGATGTCCAACCCTTTTGCAAGGCCACGCCCTCCGGCATTTCCTCCTCTGTGGTTTGTTTTAAATTCCTTTTCTCTTCTGGGTGCTGATACTTCTCTCCGTCCTCTCGTTCTTGGTGTTTTATTATGTTTTGTGTTTTGTTTGTTTGTTTAACTTTGTTATCATCATTACTTCAGTTTGCCCCCATGTCCCTTACACACAAGCAAAATATTCCTTCAGCGGAGCGAAGAGGTGGCGGATGACTGGCACGCTCCACGATCGGCCCAGCAGTCTCTGCCTCGCCAAGCGGCTCATGTTTGAGACGTCTGTGTAGTGGACAGGGAAGCCAAACACCCTGTGGGAGAAAGACAGAAAGAGCTGAGTGAGTGTGAGGGCCAGGGCAGAAGAAAAGTTAGCTCACTCTGCATTCCTGCCCTCTCCTTTATGGCCAGTTCAGTCACGTGCCAGGCACTCTGTGGATTTAAAGACAGGTAATGTAATCTGTGAGGTTCACATTCACCAGAAACAAAAACTCCGTTCCGTATCTCTGAAATGCCTCTTGGACATGCTCTACAGATGTCCTCTGCAAATGAGAGGTGAGGGCTGCACATAGCCTGAGTCGGAATACACTCAAGATTCATCCCTAAATACCCCTTTCTGTGAAGAGAGGGGCCCCCAGAGTGGGACTCTGACTTGGAGAGTTCCAGGGATCCCTGTTTCTAAGGGTGTCTGTGTGAACAGCCTTTTTGTTGGACTAAATCCAACTCAGACCCAAGGAGGAGCCCACCCAGCGGTGAGTCATCTAGTGTGGTCCATGGGCATCTACAAAATACCCACAATGCAAGTCCAGAAGGCCATGTGGACTGTGTTGTGTTTGTTAAAATTTACTTACAAGGAATTGGGGGAAATGAGAATGTGGCGGCCAAGGCAGAGCCTTCCTTCAAACCCAGCCCTGGCCAGACACAAGCACCCCAACACTGCTACCTTTCCATTTCAGTGCACCAGAGGATGTCCTCCTTCTCGTTCATGAAGACGGGGAAATGCTGGTCTTTGCCTTGCTTTATGGAATTTGACCTGGTGGTGATGGTCCTTACTTTGCTGAACTAGAAGACGAAGAGGAAGAGGAATGAACGGGCATCACTTGCTGATGGCTGGTCCAGTCCATTCAGGCCACTGGGTATAAGCCTCCTTCCTGGTCCTTGTTTTCCTTCCCACTCTGAGGTCACTCAGGCATTCCTGGTCTAATCAGGCTAATCAGGCTGGAGAGGCAGTAGCTGTGGCTACCTCACTTCTCAAGACTCCAAAGCACTGACACTTTCAGGGGTGAGCAACTTGCAGGCAGAAGGCTGTCAATGACTTAGCAACCCAAAGGCACACTGTGGGGATCAGTCCAGAATGCTAGACTGTACAGGCAGAGCTACCATCTGAACACACAGGGGAGACTTCTCCAGGGAGAAGTGACATTAGAAGAGACTGCTCTCCGTGCTACAAGCTTTTAGGTCCCAGCAAAACACCAAAAGACAGAAATTGTTCTTTCCGTTTTAAGCAAAGAACAATTTTACTAGAGCTTAAAAGAAAAACTCCAGAAAAGGCAAGCTGTGAATTTTAGCAGTTACCTGGAGGGGGAATGGAGAAGGGAAAATGCAAGCTTGTGGATCAGACACATTGCGGACAAGCAACCACGTGTCCAGGAGGGAGGCATTAGAGACAGGAAGGAAGCCCAAAGAAAAAGCATACTTAAGCTCTAGTTAGCATTTGACAAAAGAGGGGAGCGGAAATAGAAAAGTTGCACCTTTCTGAGTCAGAAGGGGGTAGACCTAGCCAAAAGTCATAGGGCATGATCTAGGCAATAGGAGACACTCAACTTAAAAAGCTACAAGGCTCAGAGATTAAGAGTGCCAGAGGGCTACATTGCCAGGGAAAGGAGGTCCAATTCCCAGCACCTACATGGAGGTTCACAACTGTTTTTAACTCCCATCCCAGGGAATTTCACACTCTTTTTCTGGCCTCTGCAAGCATACATGTGGTGCAGAGTAAACATGCAGGTAAAATGTCCATATATATACACACTAACAAAAAAGTACTTCCCAGAACCCTGTTAAAGACCCTGCAGTGGCAGAAGGGGTTAAGGGTCAGCAGGCTGAGCCCATTCCCTGGTCAAGAGGCTATTGCTCCCACACCATCCCAAAAGGACAAGTGGTGTACAGCTCTGCCATGCACCACCTTACCCTGCCATCAACACCGCCCCCCACCCCCACCGTGTCCTGGGTGCTGAGGCTGACCTTGGCTATTCTGCCATGTTCCAGACACTCTTGCAGCTCCAGCTTATCATTCACAGTGGATGCCAATGGCCTAGGAAGCAAGAGGCACCGTGGCAGCAGAGAGCAAGGAAAGACCTGTCTGGGTACCAACCCCCAGTGGCCAGAGGGCTCCAGGGAAGGTCTAAAGCCCTCTACACCAAACAGAGACATACAGCATAACCCTCTGTAGACATGTCTACCCATAAGCACACAAACAAGCCTTAATCCTTACAGGCAAATTTAAAAGGAGTTTCAAAAACCCACACCAGGCAGATAATGTCTACCTAGGGAAAAACAATACATTAAAAAAAATGCATCATACTGAGCTTTGAGTGTCCTGCTACAAAGCAACCTGTATCTTGATTTGTGGTCATTTATTTCATGTGTGGGTATTACAGTGGCTGGAGCTGCCCGGAATATAAAAGGGTTACTTTACAATTCCGTTTCTCCAGGAAAGCCCAGCACCAGGGAGATGGAGGTACAAGAATTAGAAATTCAAGGCTAGCTTGAGCTATATGGGACAAAAGTTTTGCTCTAAAATGTAAAATTATGTCTTTGTGTTGTATCTCAGGGGCAACCCGGGGAAGTGAAGATCTTCCATTGGTTGTGAGTTAGCTGGGTGCATTAACACAGTCTATCATCCCAACACTCAAGATGGGGAAGAGGCATCCCGAGATTGATGCCTGACTAGACTACATAGTAAGACCCTGCCCTAGACACCAGGGCTGGGGTTATAGCTCAGTGTTAAAGCACTTGTCTACTGTGTACAAAAAGACTAGGTTTAATCTGCAATGTCCACTTTCTCAAGAAAGTTATTTAAACACACACACACACACACACACACACACACACACACACACAGAGAGAGATAGAGACACACACAGAAAGAGAGAGAGAGAGAGGGCAGCTATGCTATCCAGCAAAGGCAGGAGGCTAGGCTGACTTGGTGCCCCCCCCCTTTGATCTTCCTGCCTGCAACCACTCCACCCATATCCACCATGCCAGGAGTGTTCACCAACCTGTTCATGCCAGGAAGGTTACCCCAGAAGTAACGGGCCCTGTGTGCAGCAGACACTTCTTTGGCGTCAATCATCACGGGGTTGGACTGTAAAATAGGAAGACGGTATCAAGGTGAGCAAAAAAGGAACAGTAATTAAATGCTGCTGGGCAATTGGGCTGGCCAAGAGCCTTACTGCCCCCAAGGGACTTCTTTGGAAGCCATACACTGGGCTTCCTGAAGGGCTAACCTGAAGGCCCAATCAAAAATCCCACATATGCTTGCTAGATCATTTCTAGATAGACCAGCACAATCCAACTGAACTTTCTGTAATGACAGGAACAAACTGTTCCAGGAGCCACTGTGTAGTATTAGTGTCTCATTCTTGTTAGAACAGCCACAAGGCTGGTGGTTACATCGGACCACTCGGGATCAGAAGAGCAAGCCCTGATATGTCTGTGTATCCACTACACCCAAGGTGTTACTGAGCTAAAGATAATGGGACCATAGGCTGACAGCCCACCCCAAGAATGCCTTGGGCAGCAGCAATTCCCTGTATATGGCTTTTACTTGACTCAGTGCTAAACTGGGGCTCACATCACAGCAAAGGAAAGCAGAGATAAGCCCTGATTTCATCTCAGGTGTCATAAAGCACCCATGAGGTCCCACAAGAAAGCATAGGCCATTCTGGTCAGAGAAAACTAAACCTGAGTTCTCTATAGAACCGAAGTCTGGCCCCAGCCTACTCTTTTGACCTGAGGCCTACTACTATGCTATCTCTTGAAGTAAGAGCACTCTTTCTTTGTAGGTGGGCCTCCTCTCTCCACGGGAGTCCTCCTCAAGCTGCCCCTTGCAAACAGAAGCCACCAGTCCCCAGCTCCAATCCCCCAGCTCCGCAATGCAGACAGGACAGGGATGAGGCAGCACTCCACGGTAGAAGCCATTAGTGAGCTGGCCAAACCAAGGTTTCTGGCTATACCTCAAGAAATCGTGAGATGTCCCTCTTGTCACTAACGCCCATGGCCACCACATTCTCAAAGAGCCAGAAGAAGGGGCGGTCATCTCCCTCCTTAGGTCGAGCATCATGCAGGAGGCGGTAGAACTCAAAGAAGAGCCGGCCAGTACCCTCTGAGAGGTTGGAAGAAAGAGAAAGCTATCAGCTGGGGCTGTTTGCAACAGACAGTGGTGAGGCCTGGGCATGGGGAGTGTGAGGGAAAGGGTCACTGAAGGAGCTGCCAAGGCAGAAATGTCCAAGGAGGACACCTAAGACCTAAGTGAAGAAGTACCAGCTCAGAACAATGCAAGTACCTACCGTAAAGTCCCTTTCGGGCAGGGTTGACGATGGAGAGGTCATTGCAGGGACTGCCCCCAATCACCAGATCGAATGGGCCCCACTCCTGGATCTGGGAGGATAAAGGTAATGTGATGGGCCTACTGTTGCAAAGTTGTGAGTCTAACAGTCATTGAGGCTTGTCTTCTTGGTAAGCAAAAAGACCCAGGAAGGAGCCCAGGAGGTGCCAAGCAACAAAACAAAACAAAAACAAACAGCCTTGCCCAGGGTAGGGAGGAATTGCTGATGTCATATGAATGCCCCCCCTGGGATTATAGAGATAAATCTATACAAAGGTATCAGGCTCTAAGAGGAAGACTGCCAGCACCCCCTCAGGTCCCTGAAACAGAGACTGACGACAGACACCACTCTCCTCTTTCCAATCCAGAACACATTACCACAAAGAGCCCTGCAACCACCAGAGAACAGCTGGAGCCCCAAACAGCAAGCACTCCATTTAACACAGGCTGGGGACTGAACCAGGGCTTCAGGCCTTCTGGACAAGAGTTCTGTCATTCTACCTTTGGCTCCCAAATTCCCATTTCCAGTCTGTTTATCACCCTCACAAGCCACAGAAGTAAAATGGAAAACAAGGAAGAAAGGCAGGAATAGAGGGTGAGAGGAAAACACGGACAGAATGGCGGCATCCCCAGCTGAGGCACTGAGGTAAAATAGACAACCCCGCAAACGGACATACATGCTTCTGTGTGACGCTGCGGACGTCCCCGACGTACATGATCTTTCCCTGGTGCCGCACCATGCCCACCGTGATGGAGTCCTCACACACCTCTGAGGCAATGTAGCGGTCCACTTGGATGCCCAGGTCCTTCAGCACCAGGAGCCCTGTGCCGGCCAGCAGAGCGCAAGCACTGTCACCCAGAGCCCTCAGCCTTCAGCTTGATACCTGGTCTTAAGACTTAGGTTGCCAACTGCACACAGGACGTCACCTGTAGGCCTGAGTCTCACCTTGCCCACATGAAGCTCCCAGTATCTTTTCCCAAACAAAGCAGAACAGCAGACAAGTAATATGGCTGTGATTTAGTTCTGCCTATGTGGAAGGTGGCCAAAGCCAGGAGAGACTAACCAAGACAGCAGGTGACTTCAGGTCCAGAGAGAACGGCCACTTCTTTGTGGCCTCTCATGCAGTTTCCATGCCCACACCGTGATTCTGACTTATTACTTATTACCTATTACTTCCTGTTGAAAGTCTATGCTGTCACGGGACACAGTGGAATGGCACCTGCTCTAAGAAGGGCTCACCACTGGCCCAGCTCCCCGCCAGGCACCTAGACTCACGTCCGTGGCCAGGCATCAAGCACTTCATATTCCTCAACCTCAGTTTATTTTCCCGATCTTGGATTGCAAATGTCAGGGTCCCTTCATTGTTCTTTCTCTTAACCAGCCTCCCCACCAGTGCTGCCTATTGATACAGGGAAGCAGTAAGGCACCCACGGAGGGACACACACAAAAAATGAGGGACAATGGCACACCACTTCTGTTCCCAATAGCTCTCCCCAGGGAGCTTCTACAATCTTAGGCATAACATGACCGATGGTTTAAGTTTTTTAGACAGGGCCTCACTATGTAGCCTCGACTGGCTAGAACTTGCTATGTAGACCAAGCTGGCCTCAAAGAGATCTACCTGCCTCTGCCTTCTGAATGCTGGGATTAAATGTGTGCAACACAAGCCCAGTTCTAAGAAGCAATCATCATCCTACGATTGTTTTATTTGTGAGACATAACCCAGGGCGGCCTTGAACTAGCTATGAGGCCTAGGATAAATGAAACCCTGATCTTTGTGTTTCTGTCTAAGTACTGGAATGATGTGTGCACTGTCAGGCCTAGTTTTTAACCCATTTAGTTTTATCAGCTACACAAACATACTACTCTACTCTCCAAAGAAAATCAGGCCAGCCCCTCAGAACCCATGCCACTGACCTGTAGCAATTCCATCAAAGAGAGACAGCACCCGGATGGGCTTCCTCTTCTCAGCTGGAACAGGTGGGTAAACCTTCGGGGGGTCCTAAGTAGTGAACACCATTGGTCAGGTCCATGCCTGGGGCTGTCCCAGCTCCCCATCCCGTGCTGGCCCCCCAGCTGAGAACTATAATATAGGCATTTTAGATCTGCAAAACTTCATAGACATCTCTTCCCCTTCTGCAGAACGCCCAGGCCCCTCAGCCCACTGAAGGGCTCTCATGGAGGACTAGTCTCAGAAAGGTGTGAGCCCACAGGCAGGACCCGGCACTCACAAATTCCTGGTCATGGTTATTGGCAAAGAACATCTGGAGCCTGGAAGGCCAGTCTTCCCGTCTCCGCAGCAGCCCATAGGTGCCCTTGTGGCCACACATGTAGCAGTTCCAGGGGTCTTCCTTAATGGCCGCTTGGGCAGCTCCTGGCCCCACCAAGAGATCCACACACTCGACACAAAAGCACCTGGAAGAAAGCCCAGTGAAGGGGGCAAAGTCTCGGACTTTGTAGGCAGGAGTGACTGGTCTGAGGATGGCAGGCGGGGCCGGGTCCTCACCTGCAACAGTTGTTGTTGCCACACATGAGCACCTCACGCCCCCCACAGCAGATGGTGCAGTAGGACTGGTACCCGTCATCGTCGTACTGGTACGCGCACTCCAAGAAGCAGTTCTAGGGGGAAGGAGAAGGGTCAGAAGCACCAGTGCAGGGTGTGTGTGTGTGTGTGTGTGTGTGTGTGTGTGTGTGTGTGGGAGAGACAGAGAGAGAGAGAGAGAGAGAGAATAGTACTTGACCTGTGATAGCCAATTTACCTAGATCAATACAAACCTTAGTGTAATTGGGAGAAAATGATTAAATTGCAGCTGCTCCTTTAAAAGGAAAACAGAAAATGAAACACTGGCACTATAGCCTTAGTGTGTGTGAGACACCTTATAATCAAACTGTCACAAGTGTAGACAGGCCCTGAACCTGACGGCAAGGTACAGAAGGGTCCTGCCCACCAACAGTTCCGTCCTGTAGCCTTCTACAGGGGGTCCCAAGAGCATGGCAACTCACCTATCAGTCAGCCTGCCTGACCACACCTCTCTGCCACCCACCCTCCACCCATCGCTGTAAGCCCCACTCTTGCCCACGCGGGGGCCTGGATTCTAGCATGCAAGGATCTTTCATGATGTAAAACAGAATGAGCCTCCATCCCTGGAGCCTGAGTGCACATGACAGTCGACATCACATCCAGTCAGGTACTGGTTCCCAATGCCAAGAAATAATGAAGAGGTCACCTCTTTAGGTGGTGTCCCTACCTTACAGTTCTGGCACATTCCACCAATGAAGAGTGGGTGCTCCAGGGTGACATTGAGGCTTCCACATGAGATACAAATGTCTGTAAGATAACAGGATGCCATGAGCATCCATCGCCTGGAATTCCTGTCCACCTGGGGCTAGAGCCCAGCTAATACAACATCCACCAAAGTGGCTGCCAGAACAGCAGGTAACCCTGGTAGCTCATGTCCACAATAGCAGCACTTGTGAGGCTGAGAAAAATCAAAGATCAACCTGGACTACAAAGCTGAGTTCAAGGCAAGCCTTACGACAGGAGATTCTGTCCCCAAAACAGCAAAGGTCTATGGAGACAGATGGCTCAGGAAACACAAGGGTCCAAGTTCAGATCCCCAGCACCCACATGAAAGTCAGGCACACTGCACCAATGGACTGAGTAAGGGTGGGGTTCGGCAGGGGGGGGGGGCAGACAAAGAAAGGAACACGTTGCTGTATGTCCAGTGGGAGTCATGGGGGAAGTTGGGGGTAAACATGACTGCATACACATATGAAATTTCCAAAGTTAAAAAAAGGAAAAAGCAGCTAGGTGTTGGTGCACGCCTTTAATCTTAGCACTCAGGAGGCAGAGGCAGGCCGGTCTCTGTGAGTTCAAGACCAGCCTGGTCTAGAAGAGCTAGTTCCAGGGCAGCCCCCAAAGCCAGAGAAACCCTGTCTTGAAAAACAAAAACAAAAACAAAAAAAAAAAAGGAAAAAGCCAGGCATGGCAGTGTATGTGTGTGACCCAGTGCCGGGAGGGCAGAAGATGAGTGAATTCTTGGGGCTGGCTCACTGGCCATGTAGCTTAGGTGAAATTTATGAGCCCCAGGTTCAGTGAGAGACCCTAATTGAGGAGGACACCTGATGTCAGCCCTGCACATCACGTGCATATATACGCATTCACAAACACCCCACCCTATTTTTATTTAAAGGCAGCAGTGATCCCTAATCTCAGAAGCTCACTAATCTCACCAAGCTCACTACCTATCACCCAGGAATAGGGTGACATAGGGACAAAAACCCATTCATGAGAATAGAGAGTGAGTCCAAGTTGCCCTGGAGGGCCTCCTCAGGAAGTCCTCCTCCCATCCTGTCCCGATCCTAATGTTTCTAGACCCAGGACCCCATAGTCAGATCATTACCACTGCACCAGGGGAGGTGGATACTGACTCTGAGAAGGTGAAGAAGGAAAATGGCAAGGTCAACTTCAGTCAAGTTCAATCAAGGCCACAAGGACCACCCTTTTCTGAATCCACTGGGGTATTCCCAAACCCTAAAGGAATAGGAGCATCAGATAGATGGAGGTGGTGGGGTGTGCAGATAGGCCCCAAGCCCACATTACTTCAACTTTCCCAAGAACCCATGCCAATGCCACTTCTCAAATATGGCCGTATTCTGGCTGTGTGAGAAGCAAGCCAACCCAACTCCCAGGCAACTTACCCTCGATGTTCCGGCACTTCTGACGCACCTCATACACCAGCCGCTCTGCAAGGGTGAGTGAAAGCCTAAATTAGGAGGCTGTCCAGAAGTCTCAGGGTGGGCACGCAGGTGATGCCCACCCCTCAGGGCATCCAGTTCCCCTCCAGGGCCAGCTCCTACCTCTTGTGCGTTCATCAATGATCTCCTTGACCTTAGGCTTTTCTGTTGTGCTCTTTCTGGGTTTCTTGGCTGGTGGGGGTGGAGCATATGCAGCTGCCTCGGGCTCAACCCACATGTCTGTGTAAACTTCCTTGTATGGATTCTTCTCCTCTGCACCAAGAAGCAGGTGACCACACCAGTTACAGGCTGATACCAGCACAGTACCCACAGTGGGGTACCACATTGCCCCAGCTGCTTCCCACATCCCAGTTCTGGGTTTCTGGTGAGCCAATGGATGACAGGTTACTCTGAACTCGCAGAGTAGCACGTCTTTGAGATGACAGAAGCCTGGAATGCCATTTCTATTTTCCCCACTGTGGGGCCTCTGCAGCTCCCCCAAGTGTGGCCTTCTCAGTCCAGACCTATTCACCACAATTACCTTCTGGTGGCTCCAGGCCCTTGGGACCAGAGGGCTGGAACCCTCCAAGGGCCCATTCAATCATCTGCTTGTTCTGCACCTCCACAGCCTTGCCAGTGTCACTTTCGTCACTGTCATGGCAAGCTGGAAACAGCTTCCCAGCACGGCTGCTGGCCACCTAGAAGGGAACAAAGGTAGGGACAGGTTAGATGATAGGTGATCCCCAACTCAAGGCAGCAAAGATGGACAGGCAGGAGATAGGAGAACTGCCAGGAGGGAGAGTGAAAGTCAACCGCCCAAGGGCTTCAGTCCTGGCCAACCAGGCTCCAACTTCCAGGGATCCTGACAGCCCCACCAGCTGAAGTCCCTGGAGCTGCAGGGGACAAGCTCACCTGGAGAACTTCGTAGATAGCTTTGCGGTACATGGGCTGCTTATTGTAGGTGGCCTGGTGGAACGCACTGCAGAAGGAGCTCAGTGGCATGAGTTTCTCGACACACACCTAGGGACCAAGCCATCTTCAGTTTGTTCCTTCCATGAGACATGGCCTGCATGGCCCTGGCACTTTTATGTAACTCAGGTTGGTCTTCAACTTGTAGGATTACCATGCCCAGTTGTTCCCTATACAGTTTAAGCCATGTACTTTGTAATTGTTAAGCATGAGGAACACTAAGAGTCACTGGGCCCTTGGGGGACCAGAGGCATTGACAAAAATGACAAATTGTAATGGAGGAGCCTAGATCAAGAGTGGGAAAATATCTGAAAGGCTCCTGGCAGCTGATAGGCCAGCAGTCTTCCTGCTCAGTTTAACGGTCACTATGGTTTTATCCACTGACCCCAATAGGAGGGAAAACAGTGTATTTTTGATGCCCTTACTGCAGGCTGCATCCAGCAGAATCTAGGCCATAGGACCAGGCCCCATTATTCTCTCCCCTACCTCCTAATCACAAAGACCAACTCACCACTGAGAACTTGCCATCTCCAAACCACATGACCCAGCGAGTGCCTTCCGCGGCTCGGCTCCGGCCTGTCATCCACCAAGACACAATTCGGCCTGGCCACCAGGAGAAGCCTCGAAGTTTCCCCCACACCAACTCTCCGATGCCAAAGCCCCGGCCATCCTGGAGCCCCAAGGAGAAAAAGTCATTTAACCAGCAGTCACAAGTTCCAGTCACCCTGAACCTCCCAGAGTATGACTCCAGTCCTGGGCATGAGGGAAGGACAAAGCCCCATGGGAAGGCAGGGGACAATGCTAAGTCAGTACCCTGTTGTACAAGCTGGCTGCACAGGAGGCTGCAGGAGGTGGCATGAGGAAAGAGGGAGGGAGTGGCTGGCAGTGGAAGACACTAGGAGAGAGCTAGTTAAGGCAACTGGAAAGCAACCTGCTCACCTCATACTCAGGCTCATCATCAGCTGCTTTGGTGGCATTCTTGTCCCCAGCATCAGCCCCCACTGGCTCAGGAGTGGTGGCCACAGTAGGGGATGCAGGGTCGGTGGGCTGCTGCACAGCAGGAGGGCTGGCCTCCTCTACCTTCTGAGGCTCTCCAGAGGCCTGGTTTTCCTCCACAGCATTCATTACTGCAATTACCTTGGCTTTCTTCTCAGCCTGGAGAAATGGGGACAGGAAGTCACCTTGACAGCAAGACCATTTGACATTTGGAGACTCTTCAACCCATCAGAGGTCTGGAGAGAACAGCTCTTCCTTTATCAGCCCAAGCAGCTCACCAGGGAAAGAAGACCAGCTGAGGCTGGAAGGCCCACTCAACTCTCCTCCCTGCCTCCAGGAAAACTCCCTCTTTGCCATGCGCCCATCCTCTGGCCTTCTGACACAGGATCTCACATAGCCCAGCCTGGCCTCAAATGCTCTTGTAGCTGAGGATGCTGAACTCTTCCTGCTTCTACATCCTAAGTTCTAGGGTTATAGGCATACACCGCAAGGGCTAGCATTTCAAATATTAATTGTGCTTCACTGTTCAGGCAAGGGGCTTGGCTCCAGCTCCTCCCAACTGAGAACATGAGCTGTTCATTTTCTTCTCAGTCCTTCCCACCTAGTTTCCAGACACAACTGTGTGATGCCTCTATTAAAGAATACATCCCCAGTATCTGTTCCTACAGGCTCTGTAAATGCTTGTCCTCAGCCAGGCGTTGGTGGTGCTCGCCTTTAATCTCAGCACTCGGGAGGCAGAGGCAGGTGGAGTGAGTTCCAGGACAGCCTCCAAAGCTACAGAGAAACCCTGTCCCTGTCTCAAAAAACCAAAAAGAAAAGAAAAAAAAAAAGCCTGTCCCCATGTAGATGCCATTTAACATTACACAGCCAGCACACCATGTGCTATCACAGGGCTCCTTTCGACCATCAATACATGTGCTCATTCAGTTATTTGCTGAGCACAGCAACCAATCAGGAGTCGTCTCTGCCATGTGGCCAACAAACCAGCCACCCTCACTTACTCTCCCACTGAACAGTCCAAATCCTTTCCCTCTATCACATTTCTGACACCAAGGACCTTGAGCCCAATTCCTTCTCAAAACCTGCTCAAAGCCAGTCACGCTGGTATATACCTTTAATTACAGCACTTAGGAGGTAGAGGCATGTGATCCCTGTAGCCAGCCCAGTCTACACAGTAAGCTCCAGGATGACTAGAGTTACACACAATAGACCTTGTCTCAAAAACCAACCAACAAAACAAAACAAACCAGTGCTCAAAGATCCTGTGAAGTGCAGACTTGACAACCAAGTTCTAGGGACCATTCTGCTCACCTCCATCAGTAAACCTAGGCCACGTGTTCTCAAAATTCAAAGCTCTGCAGCTACCTTCACCTCTACTTCATCAACTGGGAACAGAGAAGGGAGAGGGGCCATGACCCTATCTTTTTGTTGTTGTTGTTTTGTTGAGACGGGGTTCCTCTGTGTAGCCCCTGCTGCTCCGGAACTCACTGTGTAGACCAGGTTGGCCTCGGACTCAGATCCACCTGCTCCTGCTTCCCAATGCTGGGATCATCAAAGGTATGCTACAGCATGCCAGGCCCAACCTTTTTTAAGTCTGTGCTGGGAACTGAACCCAGAGCCTGTGCACACCCACACACATGCTCTAACAATGATCCCCACCCCCACACATCATTTTCTGCACATAGCTTTCCCCAAGAACTTGGAGCTATGACAGCCAACCCACTCTTACAATTAAAAAAAAAAAAAAAAAAAAAAAAGGGAGGGGGAGAGGACTAGCTAAGCAGGTGAAGGCTTGCTGACTAGAACTGAACTTGGGACTTAGGACCCACTTGGTAGGAGAACCAGCTCCAAAAGGCTGTCCCTCTCATCTCCACATTCATGCCATGGGGGTGGGAGGAAGCACACTCATAGAAGTAAATGTATTTTTTTTTTAAGATCAGAAAACTTGGAGCCAGGTATGGTAGGCACACCTATAATCTGATTACAAGCAGGAGAACTGCTCATCAGGAGGCCAGCCTGGGCTACCTCAAAATCTCCCTCTCTAAAAAAAAAAAAAAAAAAAAAAAAAAAAAAAAAAAAAAAAAAAAAAAAAAAAAAAAAAAAAAAAAAAAGGAAGCAGTTTTGAGCTTAAGAGCTAGTGAGACTGTCTATGTGCCTGCCGTCGGCATAGCAACTCATTAGCAGCAGCTAACTGGCCCAGTCTTTTCTTGTGAGTTGTTCCAAACTAAACATTCAAACTTCAAGGGTTCTGGTCACCTTTCTTGACCTGATTAAGAGCATGAAACACACACGTATGTATCTAAGACCCCAAGGGTGCTCCCAAGACCTGTCAATGTACCACACGTGTGAAGCTGCTGGCAGGGTCACCTTTAAGGTGAGCGAGCTAAGAGTATTTTATTCCAGTCTTCATGTTTTTGCCTCAGGGCAGCAACCCAACCCCTTTTCTTTCGCTGATCCCTAAAAGACCCAGGGTGGTGATTTTGAGTGCTTGTTCTTGGTTCACCAAATCCCAACTGGAATGACACAACTGAGGAAACCAGCTCAAGGCTGGAGGAAAGAATGCAAGGCAATTGCTCAACTTCCCCCAGCCTCACCCTCACCTGGCCAGAGCTTTCCCTTCCTTCCATCAATTAGCTCTCACCTCCCCCCAAAGAGGTGCACCAGGACCAGGGCTGGCTCTGGGGTGAGGCTTCCTGTCTCTTGGAAGCTAACCTCCTCTTCTGGACACACTATTTGCAAAAAGTTACACACAGACACACACGTCCCTGTCCAAATGTTGCCTCTCTTGTCCCACCATGCCTTCCAGAACTTCTGACAGCCCCAGTCTTGGGTGGCTGCCTCCAATGACCCAAAGGTCCGACGTGCAGGCCTGGTGAGGCACCTCAGCCAGCATGAGGCATGCAGCTTGCAGAGGAAAGGGCCTGCTACCATTTCCATAGCAAGGAGTAGCTGCTAGGCGAAGGCTCCCCCGCCTCAGGCTGCCAGGTCTCTAAGGGAGTCGTGCCTGCCACCACCCTTATTATCCCCCCACAGCTCCTTTGTCTTTCTCCTCACCCCCTTCACCACAGTTCGTAAAAATTCTTCTCCCACAACTTCCCCCGGTTAGTCAGATGCTGTCGCTGATAGCTGCGTAGCACCCCCAATCCAACAGCGCAGAACATGTGCCCAGCACAGCCTGGGCTGGCAGAGGAGGAAGGGGGCCTCCACCAGGACCAGCACAGCAGAGGGGGTTAGCAGCAGGAGGCCAGAGGAAAGGGGAAGAGGGGGGCAGTGCGGCCGGTGGGGGAGGGGCTCATTAGAATAGTGAGCCTGGCAGTAGAACCACCCTCCTTCCCACGTTCACTATCCCTACTCCTCAAGCAGACAATAGGAAAGGGAAGGGTTAACTAGGGGCTCTAGTATTGGGTCTCTAAGCCCCGAGACTGGGCAGGGTCCAAGAGGGACACAGCACCATCCCCCAATACCCATGGCTCAAGAAAGCCACTTGGCCTAGAGTTGCTTTGGGCCAGGAAAGCGGCTGGTAACTACTGCCTACAGCTTCCCTGTCCAGTCCCACATCCTCAGGCAGCTGTACCGGCTCCACCTCCCTCTGCGACTCCCATTCCAAAGGTCAGAGGTCTAACTGCCTCTTCCCCCAAGCCCACGCGGCTTTGGGCTATCCCAGTGTCATAAGACACCAGGCTATCCCTTCTCGACCCTGAGGGTCGCATTACTACTTGCCATCAGCCACCACTTTCTGGATACCGGCCTAGTGATATAGGAATATTGGGGTGTATCGTGGGAGGAAACTGTCCCTCTCCAGAGTCCTAGAGCTGGTAGGGCCTTGAGGTCAACATGGCACCCCAAGAAGGCGTACAGGTCATCAAGAACTGCCAGGCATCCATCTGCCAACAGCTACAGCCCAGGCTGCTACCAACCCAACTCTTTACAGCCTTTAGCAGGGCCGTCTGCTCCCAGCTTGCAGTTAACACTGCCGGGGGCTGATCTTCCAGTCCCCAGAGCGTGCCGGGTGACACATGAGACCAGTGAAGAGTGGGGCCTTGAAGCTCCTAAACACAAAAGTGAGTGGGACGACCTAAGTGTGCACCCCCGGAGCTCAGGTGGGCCAGGAAGGCTGACTTGACTCTTTGCAACACTGAGGGCTGCGGGGATCCTCCCACCGGCCCTGCCACCTCCCCGCCCCCGGT